GAGAGAGAGAGAGAGAGAGAGAGAGAGAGAGAGAGAGAGAGAGAGAGATTTCACTATATTCAACATACTTGTCTGAGTTTTCTGGTCTATTTTCAGATTTATCATTTTCTGATCCATTTTCAGATTTATCATTTTCTGGTTTATTTTCAGTTGTATCATTTTCTGATATATTTTCAGATTTATCATTTTCTGGTTTATTTTCAGATTTATCATTTTCTGATCTATTTTCAGATTCATCATTTTCTGATCTATTTTCAGGTTTCTCATTTTCTGATCTATTTTCAGGTTTCTCATTTTCTGATTTATCATTTTCTGATCTATTTTCAGATTCATCATTTTCTGATCTATTCTCAGATTTATCATTTTCTGATCTATTTTCAGATTGATCATTTTCTGATCTATTTTCAGATTTATTATTTTCCGATGTATTTTCGGATTTATCATTTTCTGACGTATTTCCAGATTTATCATTCTTCTCCGACGAATCGCCATCTTTCTCCTTCTCGATCATTAATATTCCATCGTCTGAGGGCACAAGTTTATCGAATTTTTGGGACTTTTCTGTTTTTTTGTCAGTCTTCTCTAGTTTTGATTTTTCCTGTATCTCCATTTCATGATCATCGGCTTCGTGGGAGTCATTGTTTTTCGCCAAACTGTATCTGTCAAGCAACTGGACTGATTTATTTAAATTTTGAGGAGAATACGGACAACCAGATGCTGAATTATGCGTTGCAAATTTAGGTCCTTTTATATGTCCTATACCTCGGCAGCCATATGTGCCACATTCCGGTCGATCAGTCAATTGATCTACTATGTATTGATAAAAATGAATCAATTACATTGTACGTACGAATTAAAATATATTCTAATATAGGTGAAATAAACTGAATTTCATGACATGGACAATTGACTGACTAATCATTTGAGGGTGGATCATGATCTCAGTGAAGCACTCCATCAGGCCAAAAGGCTACAATTATTAACACGTTTGCGAGATTTTAACAATAACCACGGTTTTTTTGTTCTGTATGATACAGGGGGTAGTTACAAAAAACTTCTTGTAATCTGAAGATGGTTCAATTCGAGAAACATGTTATTATCATTATATATAATCTTTCAAATAATTTGTTAAGGAATGCTTTTGTATATTTTGAATTTTTAAATATTAGAGTGGTTGGATTTTTTATAAACTAAATTTTGACTCTTATTAGCCTTGTTGTTATACTATTCTTTAAAATATATTGTAATATGCAAAATAATATGTATAATATAAAATAAAAGCTTACTAAGTGGAGGTTCCAATGGATGACCAGTTTTTACACACCAACCCACAGGATGAATATCAGGTGAATCATCATCAACCCAATAGGCATGATTATCGGGCCAGCCATCAAACTTAATCTTCAATCTATATTTTAAAAAATATATAATTATTATCCCACTAAAAAGATAAAAACACACACAAAAAGAAAATGGAAGTCAATACAAACTGGTGGTCTTTCACATCCTCTACAGTTGCCACTCTAATTAATTGTGGCACTCGCTTATCCACTGCTTCCAATTTCATACCACGTCTGAATGCACACGGTGGGCGTTGCTTAAATGCTCTAGCTGGAGCAACCATTGAGGTGGTGTCTTTCAGATATGCGTCCCAAGAGAAAGACTTGGCATCCTTATAAGCTAATCACAGATATTACAATTACATATGGATGAATAAATAAATTGTATTGTACTAATTTCAAATTTCTTACTATTTGGTGGCATCAAGGCGCGTCCATTATGATGAGACCATCCAACAGGGTGAATATATGGTGAACTCGCATCAGCCCAATAATCGTACACCTCGTCCCAAGAATCAAAATGAACTAATATTCGAGAATCCATTAAACCTGCTATACTAGCGACACAAAGTAATGAAGAATGTTTTCTATCCACTGCCTCCAACTTCATGCCCACTCGAAAGCCTGTGGGAAAGACAGTTTGCAAGGCACCTTTATTCGGAAATAAATTCTTTGCTGCCACAGGCGCTTTACAGATTTTTAGATATGCATTCCAATTAAAGTTTCCAGATGTGTAACCCTTTGGTGGATCTAATTTCTTGCCATTTTTTTCAGACCACCCAGCAGGAAATATATTCATACTATCTGCATTTATCCAAAAATCATAATTTTCCGGATAACCGTCAAAATGCACACGCATTCGGTAACCTAAATACATACATTTTTTATAAATTTCATATAATACTGTAATATTTATGCTGTCTTTAACTGCTGACTTACCTACAACCTCGGCAATGGTTAGAACACAATATCGAGAAGGGTGTTCCGGATCTATACCTTCCAATTTCATTCCAACTCTAAAATGATTTTTACTATAGGGAAAGGGATCCTTGAATAACTTAACAGGCGCCGCTTTTGCTTTACAATGGTCAAGATACTTTGGCCATGAAAAACCTGATTTTCCTCTTTGCCAAGGAAACTGCGCATAAAATAAAATTAAAAAATTATTATATTTTAATTTTTAACCCATTTAATTTAATTAAATTTAATAATTTAACTGTTATACTCGACCAACCTTTGATTCTGATGAATCTGCTTGGATCTCGTCATCTATACTTGCCAATACCTCTTTTTCCTCATCTATTTCCTTTGTCTTATCTTGTGTCTTTTCATCAGACTTTTCATCTATTTCTTTTGATCCTTGTAATAATTGTGACTCTTGTAATAATTTTTTGCGTTTCTTTTTTATGCGTACTTCTCTGTAAAAAACATTAATATAGTTAAACCTTATATGATTACTTAATTACTTACATATTAAAATATATTAAGATACATAATACACACTTTGGATCCTTGTCCTTTCGATTTGCAGGCTGTTTTTTAGCCTCTATCACTTCTGTGCAGGAAGGACTACATGATATTGGACTTTCAAATTCAGCAGCTAATCCATAACATCCACAAGCTTCGCAATGATACACAGTATCTGCATTTACCGATCTAGATTTCCTTTCATCAGCTAAATTAAATATATTTCATTATAGTCATATATAAATATTTACATCTAATATGTCCATCGAGATGTACTATTTGTAATTTACCTTTTTTTTCTATATTAGTATTATTAACAATTCCTGAGCTAGTTTTTGAGGAATTTTGTGTTAAACACACATTCTCTTTATCACCTATGCCATCTTTATTTTGTTTACTACTTTCATCTTCATCTACTACTTCCATAATGCCGAACTCATTCATACGGAACTAAAAAAATGTAAAAAAAATACATGTGATTGTTCGTGCATATATACGCGTCTATAAATACTTTAATAATGTTATAAAACTGTTACTTGTAAAACTGTAACTAAAACTGTTACTATTGTTCATAGTTCTAGATAAACACAAACTTAGAGGTTTCTTTATTTTTTATTACCATACATATATAATTCTTTTACCTGTAAATTACTTCCAGGCAAAGTACCAACACCATCTTTCCAGTCCAAAATTTTAGACGCATCAAAATGCGTGTTGTTCTGATTCGGAGTATTATTCTGATTCAATTGTTCTTTTGTTTCATCACAATTGTTACTCTTTGCTTCATTCTTATTGTCTGGCGTTATTTCAGTATTACAGTTTATTGGAGTTTTAATTATCTCTATTCTTATATCATCATCCATATTTGTATTAAGTTTCGAAACTTTATCCTCACTAGGGATAACTTTAATCAATGTAATATCATCGTCATTTTGAGTCTTTTTATCTTTGTCTTGTTCAGACTCTGGACTGCTCAATGCATAATTAGAATCAGCTAGACTGTCTTGCGGAGATTTTGGAATATGTTGCTTTTTCATCCGTTTTTCAGTAGAACCTCGTAATATGTTGCTAATTGTCTTTTTCCGTTTTTCTGGTTGATTATCTTCCTTTTTTGGAATTGGCGTGATAACGGCTGAATCCGGATTTTCAGTGATTTTTATACTATCTATGGAATTAGAATTGTTCTTGTTTGCACTTAAAAGGCCCATTTTTATTGGATGCAATGGTGGAGGATGTGTCGTTGAATTTGTCGTTTTTGATTCACGTAACACTAAATTGTGCAAAGCAATAAATATACTTTATATTTTGCTTTGAAATACTATACATGTAAATCAGTAATTACGCTAAATAGAAATTTATTTCTATACCTGTTATGGTACCTTTGCTTTCCGTACTAAGTTGACCATTATTAATTTTTAAATTGAACATGCTAGGTTTTGTGGTGCCACTTTGCTGGGAAATGTTCACTGGTAATATTAAATTCGCCATATGTTTAGGACCCTGACCCTGCGAGCCACTTGTGGTACTTGCTGGTGCTGGAGTTAATTGTGATATTACTGGAGTAATTACTAATTTGGGTTTCGTTATTTGAGCCGGTGTTAAAGTCCCTATTAGAATGCCAAGTAAGTAAATGCACAGATATATATGATTTGATATATTAAATTAATTTTTTGTAGTTTTTGTATATCACATGTAAGTTGACAAATTATAAATCAGTTATATTAAAATTTATAAAATACAAAAAATTCTTACCTGCAGGTATAACAACAGATTCTCGTGATTTGTTAGGTTTAATGAGGGTTCCCAAATATGCAAATGTATGCTTTCCCACTTGCGCATTGGTTTGATTTCCTTGCGTCGTATTTAAGGGCAATATCTGAGCAGTAGATGTTGACTTTCTAAGTAAAATGTGTTTTTGAGCTTGTGAAGTAGCAGTGCTCACAGTATTTATCGGACGATGAATTACGATGTGTTGTTTATTTTGAGATGTAGCTACCTGACTTGGCCCTTGTATAAATACCTTATTTTGTCCAGTCACAATCTAGAATGAAAGTAAAATATCTTATTTTATCTAATCATAAAAGCTAAATGGACTTGCTGTCTAAAATTAACTAGATGAAAGTTAAAAGTCACAATTTTCTCCAAAACTCAACATCTAAGTAATTTGAATATGAGAATTTTTACATAATATCCATATTAATTACAAATAACATCAAACTAATCAATATTCACTTTTAATTTATCAATAAACTTGACATGGTAAAATAAAAAAATAACATTGATCATAAAGTACAACTAAATTTAACAGTTATAAATATCAAAAAACATATTTTTTCAACAAAAAAATTATTTAAATCAATAGATTAATTTTATGCACATCTCTTCATACTTGAGTCACACTGTATGCAGTGTCTGTTGACCAAATCTATATTTACTATAAGGAACTGCATCACTCACTGCTACCACCTATGTATCTTATAAAACTATAAGATCTATATACATACATGTATATACGTACGTATATATTGTGTATATGGATATATGTATATGTGTATGCGTGTGTACTGAATGCGAACTATGTTTAGCACTGTTACATTTTGCTCCCTTATATTATCACTTATAATTGTACTTATATATTCATACTTTATATTTTATTGCAAAATATAACATTTAAATTATAGCTTATTATAAAGTATAAGATATATAAGTACGGCATGTAGATAAAAGATGTATACTTAATTTTAGGTTAGCATGAATATTATATCTATATTGAAATATGTATATCTATATTATGTGTTATATGTTCATCCATTATAATAAAGTACTTATATAAGATACAGATTGGAAAAATTAATCTCTACAGAAGTTCTCAACTTTGCCACATAAATCATAAAATAGAAAGCCAGTATTACACAAGATACCAACCACTGCATAACATACCATGCTTTCAATAATTACCTGATTATTAACTGGATTAATAATGGCAGCGAGTTGTGTGTTAGGTGAAACAATAGTTTGATTTATATTTGTCGATTGGGTAGAACGTACTTTATTTTGTTGGATATATAACAGTGGCATTACAGACGTGGTTGCATCATCCACCTGCTGCGTATCCGTAGCACTATTCTCATCTATATCGTCTACTACTATTTCCTCTTCCATTCTGTTAACAAACAGACGGTTGTTGACAAAGTTGTGTTTTCTCATTGTTTCACGCTTCAACACTTAACATTAAAAAACGTTTCATATATATCTATAAGTCAGAATGACACTTAAAAAGATATAAATAAAAATTAATTGATGAATTACCACACTCAATAATATAAATTTTTTCTATCAAAACAAAAAGTGAAAAGTATAAAGCTTGAGAATGTATTTAAAATTATTCGATATGTTATCTTTTTGGATAGTTAAACAATTACATCACAATTACATAAATTGTTTCATTTAATCAATTTAAAACGAAGTTTCGTGAAAACGTGAAATAAATCACAACTTAATGTTCCACCATCATTCAACCTCGATAAATGGGTAATGTTTTTTTTTTTTTTTTTTTTTTTGCTAAAGGCCCAACACTAAAGCAACTTTACGAACCTAACGGACATAGCGTTTATCATCGGCATATCGTGTCGTTACTAGTTACATAATTCGCGAGGAATATCGAAATATCTCGTTCGCGGAAAAATGCAAACGCTTGACCAGACGACGTTTATCGTGCAAATTCATGCATCGGAGAAGCTCGACGTATTCTCGTCGAGATATGGTAGCACAATTTTAAATGGCGCGCCGAACCCGTTGTATCCGTAGCATACAGCAGTCACGTTCCAACATCACTTTTCACGCTTTGAAATTCACCGTGGGCGTAAACGACGGAGGCGGTTTCGTGCGAAAGCACCCATGCTGCCGCGATCGGTGGATAGGAATCGTGAGTCTCCTATTCAAACTTGGCGACTCGTGTACCGCCCGTCGCGCATCGTTCGGAGTCGTTCATCAATGAAGGGGGCAACGCGCGTTATGCACGGCACTTTTCAGAATAACGGATGCGCAGCCCGGAACCCAAGGCGGAATCGTCGTCGTTCATGCGTGCCGCGACTTCTTCACGCAGCGTTTTCCCGCGCGTGCAAACGGAAAACAATTCCACCACGCCGTTCATACACTTTTAACAAAAACTTTAGCACATCTTTTGAGCTCTTAAGTAAGTCCTGTATGCCACGGCTACGTCCCCATAGGCCGAACGCGCAGTGGCGACGGCGCGACAGCTCGTCTCCCATTGGTCACCGCGAGCTGCACGGCACTGCACGGTCAGTGGGTGCAATTCGATGCAACTAGGTGCAGCCGCGCCAGCCAATCGCGCGCATTAGCGTCGCCAACGTTCTTTCTTCGTCGTTTTTATGTCAACCTTTTTTTATTTTTTTTTTGAATTGGCTAAAACCTACCCGTTCCTCCGCGAATTGTTCCGCGATCGCTGATCGCGTAGATCGATATGTCGATAATTACGCGCTTGTTCGTTATCAGAAAAGCGATGAGCGTCTCCCACTTAACAGACAGACAAACAGAGAGAAAAAAATTTTAAACGAATAATCCCGCAGAAAACCATGGATTTTCAGCTCTCGATAGAAGTGCTCTTACGGAAAAATACTATTAAGAATCAATAGTTACTATTGGTGTTCCAGTAGTTACTACCCAGGTAGCAAGCTACGTCATTTTGACGTCAGCTTGCTACCAGGGTACTGAGACTCCAGTAGTTACTATTGAGGCTCCAATAGTTATGACTCCAATAGTTTGAACTTCGGAGAACCTGAAAATAATTATTATAATAACGTCAGATTCAAGGAAAAATTGATACATAAATAAAGTAAGTAAAGTAAATAAAAATCATTTATGCATTATTATGAAATTACTGTCAGTTATGTTTTAAGTATTTATTTATGAAATTAATTCCAAATTGGATCAAACACGAATAGTATTGCACCATAAAACGTTAATTAGATTATATTTTTTATTATAACATTTGTTATCATGAGATACATAACGCATGATGGAATGGGAGAAACGGTACCAATATGATAAATGTTATAACGAAAAATATATTCTAATTAACGTTTTATGATACAACATTGTTCGCATTTGATACAATTTGGAATTAATTTCATAAATAAATTATTAAACATAACTAACAGTGATTTTTTTATAACGATACGAGTAAGGATTTTATTCACCTTTATATCAATGTACCAATTTTTCTTTAGGTCTGGCGTTATTATAATGATTATTTTTTATTTTTACGAAGAAAAATACATAAGAAAACATAGAAAACATAGAAAAATACATAAGAAAATATAAAAATAAAATAATCCCCGAGTGGTCGCGCGAAACCTTCAAAAATTTGTGTACAATACAAAAAGTAACTATTGACCAACAGTAATTATTGACCAACAGTTATTATTGACCAACAGTTATTATTGACCAACAGTAATTATTTATCAACAGTAACTATTGGCCAAAACAGTACTAACTATTAGCCAAATTACTATTGGCATTTTACTATTTATTCATAGTTTTTTTTCCGTAAGGGTGGCTTAAACTGTAGTATGTTACTTATAGTTTTTAATTCACTGATGAAAAGTTTCTACCATAGGTAAAACCATCAAAAATGGACAGATCTTGCTGTAGCATCGTTTGAAAGTTGTATATTTTCTAGTCTAATCGGACTGAAAAGTATCTTTATCCAGCTGTCACGAATAATGGGAGGAGCGGTCCGCCTTGGGCGCCATCTTAGCAAGGGTACCAATTCAGCAATACGTATATTTCCTCGTTACAAAGAAAAATTTGGAGAAGATTTGTTTTTACAGAATACAAAATAGGGCAGACTGAGGCGAATAGGATCAATGTAAAATTTAAGACAGTTAAGAGACTCCGCACAAACAAAATAATAGAGAACAGGGAATAGAGAATAAAAATTTCAACCTGTCAGAAATTATGTACTATATGTAGAGTACAGTTTCTGATGACAGGTTGAAATTCTTATATTCTCTTTGATTGGGCGGAACTTCTTAGTCGATATTTGTCGTTAATTTTATTTCTTTTGTTTCAAAAACAGCTCGTTTAAAACAAAATAATAATAATAAAATTAACGACAAATATAAACTAATATCCCTTTACATTGATCCAATTTACTCTGTAATCCGACTCGCCTTGGTCTACTCTAAATTATCTCGGTTGCTCAAGAGAAAGACGAAAAAGGAGTAATTAGGATGTATAGATCATGTCTCACAAAACATTATCAAAAATATAAAAATTTCATAAATTATTCCATCATTATCTGTATAAGAGGGTAGAAATTTTCAAAAGTTTCGCTCAGGGATCGTTTCATTTCTATATTTTCTTATACATATATCTTTTTTCGTAGAAACTGAAAATATATAAGTGTTGCACATTACTTAGTGTGAAAACGAAAAATATAATCTAAATAACGTTTTGTGGTGCAATATTATTCACATGTGATCCAATTTGGACTTATTAAGTGAGAAGTCATACTGATAACATATCTCAGATTAGTCATTTAAAATAGCAGTTTTTTAATTTTAACTTTTGGACTGTGAATAATATTATTTCACTCTTATTGCCCTGTTTTAATATTCATAATTTGCTACGATTTTTGTATATTTGATTAAATGATATCTTCAATTTTTATATATTTGACAAATTTTGACTATCACAATGAGATGTTCGAGTGAACGAAAATTCAAACATTCGACTTGCAAATCTATTGAGAGGGAAATTTCGTTTTCTTGGAAGACACCATTGGACATTTAATGTTTTATCATGAACTAATTGTAAACTACCGATGAAAAAATGAATACACTCAAGGAACTGCAAAATCTTAAGGATCATCTAAAGATGGCTTAATAAAAAGCCGAAACTGTAATGTCTATACATATATTCATCTAAATTTTTAATTAAATCTTATTTTATTTTATTAATGTGACACCTACATTTATTAACAATTATTTGACTCTTAATATGCCCTTTATAATATTTATTTAAATTTTGTTAAATTTAAGAGTCCTGTTAATCTCTTTATTATAATTTAAGTTTGGCGTTATATTATAATGATTATATTTTCGGTTTCTACAAAGAAAAATATATAAAAAAACATAGAAATAAAACGATCCCCGAGCGGTAACAAAATCCTCGAAAATTTCTACCCTTCTTTGAACACAATTTTCTGATTAAAAGTTATTTAATTTTTTTGTAGTCTTGATGCTTATTTAAAATCGCATTTTGTAATACTTATTTGCAAATTTGATGAAAAAGTGTAAACATTAGGAATTAAATCAAATTTAAAACATATACTGATCAAACAATAATACATTTTCGTGCAAAAGTTTATTTGAATCTATTTATTCATATAAAAGTTATTGTTCTAAAACTGCAGAAAAATAATGCCATTTTGCTACGTAATCATTATAACTCAAATTATTTATTTTGTTTTTTGCAATTAGTTTCAGATCATATGCACGAAATAATATCAAAATTTTCAAAATAATATTGATTGATATTAACTTATATAATATTAACTTATTTTGACTAATTATTTCATTAATATTTTTAGCTTACATTGTACAACCAAAACATCCTTAAAGCGGTAAAATTGTTAACTTTTACAGATACCTTTTTTTTGGTCTAGTCGGTATAAGTTTTTATTTGTAACACGGACATTTTGTTACTTGTAAAAGGCAAGTTATAGAGTAAATACTAATTATTCTATTTTAGTAGGTGATTTTTTAAACAAATTCAAGACAAAAACTTTATATAATCGTATGTCCGATTTAGTTTCAAATAAAAGGTGTAAAAAAAGTTTAAGATGTCAAAGTTAAATAAAAAAATACGTTTTTTTTTCTTTCAACTTTGATATTTTTCGGAGAAAAACGAGCATGCCAGTCTTTATTACTATTTATTTATTTTTTTTTTTTAAATGTACTTTCATGCACAAAATGTATTCAAGATTTTATTTGAGGAGCCAAATTAAAGTTGAGACTTTTGAACCCGTAGGCAAGGAGAGAGTCCAATAGTCCCGAGTGATATACACTATTGAACTTGTTTTGTTCCGTATTATTTTTAATTAATTACTGACGGATAAATCACAAAATCACACATTTACTTTACTACAATTTACTTTATATATATATTTATCTTTTATAATTAACTGAATCTTTGAAAAAAAAAATTAAATTCATAATACTATTCATCTTAAAGGCAAAAAATCTTTCTATAACTTTCTCATCTACAATTTTTTTCTTTTCCAAAATTAATTTCTCGTGAATATTCATTAAGTATAGTTCGTAAATGTGTAACTTTTTGTAAATTTTTTTGTTAAAGATTGTTTTCTTTTTAATTATAATTTTAATTTATTTATATTAATATTGAAGATAACTTAATGACACATGATAAAAAACATTCTCTATTTATGTTAAAATAAATCCTTGTTAAAATTTTTGTGTTAAATTTTTTACATATTCGAGTGTTAATTTAACATAATGTGATTGTGTTATTTGAATATTTTGTTTAAAAATTAAAATTTAACATTTTTCAGTGTTAAAATAACACAATTCATAGGTAAGTAAACAAATAACATAAAAATAATGTAGTTTTAAAACATAAATTCTAGGAATAAATGAATAAAATATGTGTATTAATTTAATATAAATGTTAATTTTACTGAAGAAACATTTTCTGTACAGCTATTTACATATTTTATACGTAAAAAGATACAGATATCTTGTGTTATTTTCTCTTTGTAACAGAAAATTAAATCTACATATTACATATATACATATGTTAAATATCACGGAGGCATCGCTTAAATTAAAAATATAAAAATAGCATCTAATTTCAGTGAAATTTAACATTATAAATATGTCAATTTAATATAAAATTTGCTTTTAAATTTTGTCAAAGTATTATGTTTCTTGTGTTAATTTTTTACATAATATTTATGTTACTTTCTAACATATTCATCTTACGTTAAATTAACAAAAATTTTGGATGAATCGTTTGGGACATGTGTGTTAAATTTAACACAAAAATTTTTTCTGTGTATATAATACATTTGTTAATATGATCGTATCTTAATTAAAATGATTTAAAAAAATTTTTTTTAATTTTTTAATTATGAATAATTAACAACCAGCTTTGATTCATATAGCCCTTTAATTTTAAAATTTGTAATTATTTTTATTTTTTATTTTTTTTAA